CCAGTGCTCCCAGCATTCCTGGTATTCCCAGCACTCCCAGCATTCCCAGCACTCCCAGCATTCCCAGAGATCCCAGTGCTCCCAGCATTCACAGCATTCCCAGTTCTCAGAGTATTCCCAGCACTCCCATCATTCCCATCATTCCCAGTGCTCTCAGCACTCCCAGTATTCCCAGCCCATCCCAGTATTCCCAGCATTCCCAGTATTCCCAGCACTCTCAGCACTCCCAGCATTCCCAGTGCTCCCAGTATTCCCAATATTCCCAGCCCATCCCAGCATTCCCAGCACTCCCAGCACTCCCAGTGCTCAGAGTATTCCCAGTATTCCCAGTGCTCCCAGTGCTGCCAGTACTCAAAGTATTCCCACTATTCCCAGCACTCCCAGCATTCCCAGTGCACCCAGTATTCCCAGCATTCCCAGCACTCCCAGCGCTCCCAGCATTCCCAGTGCCCTCAGCATTACGATTACTCCCAGCATTCCCAGCACTCCCAGTATTCCCAGTGCTCCCCATATTCCCAGTATTCCCAGAGTTCCCAGCACTCCCAGTGCTCAGAGTATTCCCAGTATTCCCAGTGCTCCCAGTGCTGCCAGTACTCAAAGTATTCCCACTATTCCCACCACTCCCAGTATTCCCAGTGCTCAGAGTATTCCCAGCATTCCCAGCATTCCCAGTGCTCCCCGTATTCCCAGTATTCCCAGCCCTTCCCAGCATTCCCAGCACTCCCAGCGCTCCCAGTATTCCCAGTATTCCCGGCATTCCCGGCATTCCCAGTGCTCCCATCATTCCTGGCATCCCCGGCATTCCCAGTATTCCCAGTGCTCCCAGTGCTGCCAGTACTCAAAGTATTCCCACTATTCCCAGCACTCCCAGTATTCCCAGCCCATCCCAGCGCTCCCAGCGCTCCCAGCATTCCCAGTATTCCCGGCATTCCCGGCATTCCCACCAGGTGGTNTCCCCCAGGACCCCCCCAGATTCCCCCCAAATTCCCCCCAAACCCCCCCCAGACCTCCTTGAGCCCCGTGAGCTCCGTGGGGGTCTCGGCCGTGGGGGCCCAAATTTTGACGTCGTGGTCGAGGCCACTGGTGGCCAGGACGGGCAGGTGGGGGTGGGGCTCCAGGCAGTTCACCTGGAAAACAGGGAAAAGTGGGAAAAAACGGGAAAAAACTGGGAAAAATGGGAAAACTGGGACGGGATAAAAGGGGAGGGTCAGCGGGGGGGACACGGGGGTGAAACCACCCCAAAAAATGGGATAAATCCCACAAGATCCAAAGGAATTGGGGTGCTGGGAGTGTGGGGGGACAAGGCAGGAATTCCCTGGAATTCTGGGCTGCTGGAAGATTTCTGGGAACCCCAGGAACTCCTGCACCGGGAATGGGGTGATTGCAGGGACGCTGCTGCTCCCGGGGGGAAACCACCCCAAAAAATGGGATAAACCCCACAGGGACACAGGGAATTGGGGTGCTGGGAATGTGGGGAGACCAGGCAGGAATTCTCTGGAATTCTGGGCTGATGGAGGATTTCTGGGACCTCCAGGAACCCCCAGGAACAGGAGCACCGGGAATGGGGCGATGACAGGGACGCTGCTGCTCCCGGGGGGAAACCCCCCCCAACAATGGGATAAATCCCACAGGATCCAAAGGAATTGGGGTGCTGGGAGTGTGGGGGAGACCAGGCAGGAATTCCCTGGAATTCTGGGCTGCTGGAGGATTTCTGGGACCCCCAGGAACCCCCTGGGGCAGGAGCACTGGGAATGGTGTGATTGCCGGGACTCTGCTGCTCCCGGGGGGAAACCACCCCAAAAAATGGGATAAATCCCACAGGAACACAGGGAATTGGGGTTGCTGGGGATGTGGGGAGATCAGGCTGGAATTCCCTGGAATTCTGGGCTGCTGGAGGATTTCTGGGACCCCCAGGAACCCCCAGGAACAGGAGCACTGGGAATGATGTGATTGCCGGGACTCTGCTGCTCCCGGGGGGAAACCCCCCCAAAAAATGGGATAAATCCCACAGGAACACAGGGAATTGGGGTGCTGGGAATGTGGGGGGGACCAGGCAGGAATTCCCTGGAATTCTGGGCTGCTGGAGGATTTCTGGGACCCCAGAAATCCTGGGAAGTCTCTGGAGCAGGAGCACTGGGAATGGGGTGATGGCGGGGATGCTGCTGCTCCCGGGGGGAAACCCCCCCAAAAATAGGGATAAATCCCACAGGATCCCATGGATTTCAGGTGCTGGGAATGTGGGGAGACCAGGCAGGAATTCCCTGGAATTCTGGGCTGCTGGAGGATTTCTGGGACCCCCAGGAACCCCCAGGAACAGGAGCACCGGGAATGGGGTGATGGGGGGGACGCTGCTGCTCCCGGGGGGAAACCACCCCAAAAAAATGGGATAAATCCCACAGGAACACAGGGAATTGTGGTGCTGGGAATGGGGAGGGACCAGGCAGGAATTTTCTGGAATTCTGGGCTGCTGGAGGATTTCTGGGACCCTCAGGAACCCCCAGGAACAGGAGCACTGGGAATGGTGTGATGGTGAGGACGCTGCTGCTCCCGGGGGGAAACCACCCCAAAAAATGGGATAAATCCCACAGGATCCAAAGGAATTGGGGTGCTGGGAATGTCGAGGGACTAGGCTGGAATTCCCTGGAATTCTGGGCTGCTGGAGCATTTCTGGGACCCCCAGGAACTCCTGCACCAGGAATGGGGTGATGGTGGGGACGCTGCTGCTCCCGGGGGGGAAACCACCCCAAAAAATGGGATAAATCC